TATAAAAAGTCGCATATTTTAGGATAGTTCTGAGAAATGAGCCAACTTGAGAAATTATTACGGAGTATCGCTTCTGACGTTGACCAACTTTTACTTCAATTCCAACTTATGAACCAGTTTTCTTCAAAAATGGCCACTGGTTTCAAAGATGGACGACGGAGTGTTGTTTCGGACTAACTTTTGGGTGCTTTCGGTGCATTGCTGAATTTTCAGACATTGAAGCTTTTTTTATTCATCAAATGATCATTATTGTTAAAGAATAAATGCATATTCGATTGGACTGCAAAACTGGTTGGGTGTGTAATTAGTTGTTTAAATTTGATCCAAATTGCTTTAATATTGTAGCCATATTGTTTCTTAAAAAATTAATAAGGAAAACTATAAAATAGGTCAACGTACTATTAGAAAAGAAAGTCACGTTGATGTTTAAGTCAACTTTTACCGGTGAAATTTATAATCAGCCGGCTAAAAATCAAAAGAGTGTTTTTAATTTTTATATATAGTTGACTGATTTTGTAGCATGAGGACTCATTGACTTCTTAATCTCGTGCTCTTCCAACTCTTTCTTTCCTTCCTTCCTTCTCTTTCTTTATTCCTTTCTTTGTTTCTTGAGTTCTTCTCTCTTTGTTTCTCTTATTCGGCCAAGCATCCAACTAGAGATGGCAATTCCGGTCGACCCGTTAATATCCGCACCGAACCGGTTTGATCAAAATGAGGAATACCCGGTTTTTTAAAATGGATAATGGTGCGGTTATGGTTCTATACTAATCCGCCCTGAAACCGCCCAGTTCACTAATGGTGCGGATACCCGCACCTACGTAACATTATTAATAAATTATAACTCTTTTTATATATAGGAATAATAAGTATATATACTAAATTGTATACACTAAATCGTATATATCATATAAGTATATAAAGAATATTTGTTGTGATACTCTTATATATTATTTTTTGTTGCTTTTTGTTGTACCACGGGTATTACATTTTGTTGCATTGTGTTACTTTTTGTTGCATATTGTTACTTTTTGTTGCACTTTGTTTCTTATGATTGTTTATTGTTGATTCTGAATTTTGTTGTTTATTTAGATTTCTATTTATTTATCTTCATCTTTAAAATAGAAAAAGCTATATAGTTTTAGTCTAAATCATTTAGATACAAGCAGCTAAAATGTTAAACTTTGATTTATGAATATGAAAAGCAATCTGAAACATAAAGAAACAATAAAAACAACAATCTAAGCATTATAAAAAACACAAAGAAATAATAAGAAACAAATATTAGCAATAAAGTGATAATACTGATAAATGAAATTTTAACTACTTTAATAAAAATCACATTAGAAAATTTGTATTTTGATTTTTTTGCATATGTAATTGTTTTTCAAGTTCATCATTTGATTTTTTCATATTTTAATTGTATGATTTTATTTTAGTTTTACACTCTTTTAAGTTAGATTAACTTTCTGATTTTTTTATAAATTTATTTTATTTATTTTACTAGAAAAAATTATGTAATGTGCTTTTTATTATATAAATTTTAATTTTAATTTTTTTAGTTTTCTCGGTTTCTAAACTTTTATATTTTTTTTGAATTTTTATTATTTTATCTAGTTTCTATTCTATAACTTTTACTCGTCTTGATTTTTTAAACTCTTTTCATGTTTTTTAATATTTTAAATTTTTTATTTTATTTTTTTAAAGTTTAAGTTTCTAATTTTAATTTTTTTTTTCATTTTTGAGAATTTTTGTATTTGTTTACTTCTTTATACTTTTATATTTATATATTTCTCTTTATTCATTAACTTAATAAAATTTAGTTTTGTAAATTATGGAGTACAAAAAATTTATATGATAATGGTAGTAATATATACAAATATGAACTATTTTATAATCCATATGGTTTCTTTTATTTTATAAAATTTGATTTGAATTTTATGCATGTATTCAATCAAATATTATATATTGATTTTGTTTTTAGATCTCTTTCCTTCCTTCATATTTCGTTTTTTGAAAAATTACTTTCATAAAATTTTCTTATTACTTCTCTTGTTTTAATAATTTCAAAATATTTTGATCTTGTTTTGCGTGTTTGAATAATTTTTAGGCTTTTAGATTATTTTTTTATTTTCAATTTTCTAATATTTTTGATAGTTTATATAAATTAATTTAACTAATTAAAATATCATTACAAAATCTCATTTTATGATTTTTTTAAATTCCCACACTTTCACTATTCTAAAATTTTTACGTTTGTATTTTCCATTTTTCATTTCTATTTTTTATATATAGTGTTTACATTTTTATGATATTTTTTAAAAAACTAAATTCCTTTTTTGTTAAAATTTACTTTATTTTTCAATTTTGCAGTTTTGATATTTTTTTATTTTGAGTACTTTATTTAATTTAATTCTTTTAGATTTTTAGTATTTTTCTTTTAATTATCATGTTTTAAAACTTGAGTTTGGTAAATGAGTTTTTGTTTTCCATAATTTTTCAGTTTTAAACGGTTGTTGGCAACATCCCAATTTTAAAACTTAGTGATGAAGAACATGTTCTGGGTCTTTCAAAAAAAAAGAACATGTTCTGGGATGTAGGGTACGGACTAGGATGTAGTGTACTCTGTATGTTTTAGTTACGGCTTTGAGGTCGATTATCGAAATGAAAAATTTACTAAAGTCTATTTTTGAAAAAGAATTTAAAGGGTGACAAAAGTGATATAATTTTCAATTTTTAGACTATTTGTGAAAATATTCCTTTATTTATAGTCCTATTAAACATGGAAGTCATATTCGTGCACCTATTGCTGTTGTAACATGTTTTTAACCAGATTGAAATTTTGTGATCTAATCTGGTCTGGGTTTAACTGGTCTAGTTTGGTCTCATAGATGTCTGGTGTATGTGTATTTTACAACTATCTAACTCTAGTCTTATTTGTTGAAGTGTGATTTGACCAAATTCGACTGATTTTTCTAATCTAATCTGATGTAGTTCAATTTGGGGGGAATTTTCAAAACATGAGTAAAATTGTTTTAGAATTCCAAAACAGGAATGTCATGTTTTTATTCCCTAAATGAGAGTAATTACTATCAAATTTGAAAAATATTGGCACATCTAAAGTTTGGTATTGCCAAAACATAATAGTAATTAATCATATTTCGAAAATAAAAACATGACAATCCTATTTTAAAAATCCAAAATATTTTTAATCCAAGCTTGGGAGTTAGTAGAAACATCGGAATTAACTTCTTAAAATATCCCTTGATTCACTTCTAAGGGCATCTTTAATGTTGCATCCTTCACATGGAATAAACTTTGACACATGGCACTTAATAAGTGGAATGTCTATCCATGTGCTGCTCGAGTGCTTCTGGTTAACAATCCAAACCATACGAAATTCTTTTGCTGGTAAGTGCATGTATCACCGAAATATCCATATTACAGGCTATTATTATTCAAAAGAAAGGATTAAAAAGCAGCGCACATAGAAAAAATTGATTTGGAAATTTAGTTTTGAGAAAAATGAATTAATCCAAAGTTAGGAAATTTGTAAATACGAGCAAAAATATACTGCATATGCAAGAAATTAAATCCTTTCCCCGACAAACCTGCTACATTGAAAACTGCGAAATTAATTTGCTGAAGAAACCCACTACTTGAAGGTATAGGTCGTGGTTCAAGACATTTTGGAGATTTTTTTTTGCGGAATTTCTTCACCCATTTTCGCTGAGTCATCATGTCAAGGACGTTGTTATCAGAAGACAGACACCTTAACAATGTTGACGTTATTTTTGTACAGGTAAGTTTTATATAGCCTTGGACATATTGCGCTGGAGACGAAAATGTTGCGAGATATGTCGACATGGTTGATGCGGCAGTTTTTTCTAATGTCAAGAGGCTCACATTGAAGATGCTCCAAGAGTCTAACACAAGGCTGATTTTGCATGCACCCTAAGAATTGCAATACATGAACCAAAATTGAAGAGGAAGAGAACAATTTCTTTTTATCTCAAGTCTCAACTTCCAGAATATGGTGATGTGCGACAAAGGTCATACTCGTATAAATCAAACAAAAAAAAACTGTAGAAAGTATATGTTGGATCCCAAAATTTAACTGATGATTAGGCTGATGTTTCATTTAGCAAATAACAAGAAGCCCAACAGCAACAAGGGGAAGCCCATTCGTGCAATTAAGAGGAGATCAAAATCAAAGGGAAAGAACGTGGATAGCCCACATTTCACTAAGTCAAATGGAGAGACTTGATTTCAATATTCTTGTAATCAAGCTCTCAGTCATATATGAATTGCCATTAAATATTTAATTCATATTTTTTGTTCTTGATTAAATCCATTATCGATTCATATTTGTTCGATTCACATTTCTTTTTAGATTAATTTATTTAGCATAAACAGTATACAAACCCTAGTAAACAAACTGGGCCAAAATAAAAAGATTGACTTATAAAACTTACCTACGGCCTAAAGGGTCCCCCACCGATGATGTGGTCCAAGTAGTGGTACGGGTTGGGCGTGTAGGGCATCGTCTAGTGGGTGTCCATCTACTCCATGATAACGTAGTATGATGAGGCGTGAATGTGCTCCCATGATCACATCTTTAATAACAATGAAAATACACCAATTTCTGTGATCCCATTGACAACCTAAGCAAACTATGATGCTTACACACAACTAACACATGTGAGAAAGGAATCTTGTAAATTTCTACCTTTTTACTATTGCAAGTACGATGCTGCAATTTAACCGTTTGTTTTTCTCACCTTTTCGAAATATGCGTCCGCCACACGTCACGTCAAAATGACTTGATTGATTGTATTTAAAAAGTACGTGCACTTATATGATACTTTATTTAATAGAAGCGCTTAAATAAAGGATTGAAAATAATAGAAGAATTTATTTGATAATTTTTCTTAAAAACATCCCAATTAGCTTTGTAGAATATCATTTCTGTCTTAGCTGATTTTGTAGGCACCCTATTAGGAATTACGAATAGCAATGCATGAAGCAAAATTGTAGAGGAACAGAACAATTTCTTTTGATCTCAAGTCGCAACTTCCATTGAAAACCTGCTAAAAGGACAAGTGAACAACCGTCTGACAATCACATTTGTGGCTTTCAAATTTCCGTAAAGCATTCAACCTTTTTCGCAATCGATCGAATAGCCGTATCAAGAAGAAATTCACATGAACTCCGAAGTCCGAACCCGAAGCCAAAATCGACTATCCGAAATCCACCCACTTTCATACTCCCAATTTACAGCCGTTAAACATGAACATTCGAAAGGTGGAATACTATTTTTATCATTTACATCGAATATTTGCCCCTTTCGGCATAACGAATCGTTGATTTGAGGATCGGTGGCTGGAAACTCAGTGTCGTGAGTGCCGAATCTTCTCCTATCCGCGGGAAAGGTTCTAGCTTTTCTATGTTTGATGCTATGTATGGTTTAGAATTAGTGATTCCATTTTTGGCTCATTATATCATATTTTACAGCTTTTCAGCACTTTCCGTTGCTTATAAGTATCGAGCAGCCGCAGTAGGTAAGCTTAAGCTGCGACTGGGCTTTCTCTTGGGGTTAGGAAGCAGGTATGTTTCTTGTCATTCCGTTATTACGGTTATTTTTCTTATTATTATGGTTATTACTTCTCTGTTAAATAGACGTTTAATGAGCGATAATATATTTCCATTCAAGAGGTAATGCCTCCAATTATAAATAATTAAATAAAGTAATAATCTTTATTAGTTTATAGAAATGGAACTGTTAAATTTATGTCTGCTATGGGTAATTTGTAAAGCTACAATGACTGTTTGATCAAGTTTAAATCCACCATTTGTGGGCTAAATTGATCAAGTTTAACTGTGAAATTTTCAAAAGCTACAATGACTCCCTTTTTCTAATCAATTCATTCAAAGACTTATCAATTCTTTGAGGTTGATCCAAGTGTTTTTTTTATTGGAAAGTTCTGGTAATAAAACACAACAAATTTCCTCAAACACGATTATCATAAATTTATGTACAATAAGAATCGGGTACAAATTGGAAAGTTCTGGTACTAATTTACTCCTACAATAAGAATCACTCATTAACTACTTCTATTTGTTGTAGCACTAAACAAGGATATTCCCATTGGGGTACATGAGACATGTTTGACTCCTATTGGCAGTACTTTCGTTTTTCAAATACTACTTATTAAAATGGCAGTATAAAAATTGTCACTAACTATTTTTAATATATTTAGTAATAAATATAATACAAATAGTTAAGTACTGAGAGTTGTGTATCGGGGTGAATGAATGCGAAGATGAAGTACCATGACAGTGGTGTAGCAGCTACATGAGATAAACTAGGGAATAATAAGTTGTGCTGGTCCTGGCTTGTCAACCATCTAGAAACAAATGCCAAGTACTGACAGTGGAGTTTTGAGGACTTAAAAGAGAAGCTGTGGTAGACCAAAGATGGCATGAATTCAGGGGGTGAAGGGCAGAGAGTTGGACTTAATGAGCATTTGATATCAGGCATGACAGAGATGATAATTAGGATCTTTGTGGATAAACTTGGGAGATTTTTTATTGCATCTTGTTGCCGGAGCTGATTGTTTTAATTTGGGATAAGACTTGATTTTTGCAGTCTTTATGTAATGAAATTAGCTATTCATCAATGTGAGGGTAAATGAAATTTTCATATGGGGTGTAACTCTGTTGTAAACTATGGGGGGTATTTATTGATGTGTTGTCTTACTTTTGTGCCAAAAATATGAATTACAAATGATGCTAGACTTGTTATTCATGGATACCAATGTCTTTGTTTTTTTGGATGCAGGACATTGTTCTCTGAAAACACTTTGTTGAATCCATCAAAATTATGGGTGGTTATAATAGCAATGTATGCGTCCTAACCTTCTCTGTTTCTATTGACTATCCATTTCATTTTCATCATCTCAATAAATAATGGTTAATAGGAGTGGAGCATTCAAGAGAAAAGAAAGCAAATGATATAAATACGACAATATTAAGAAAATGAACAGGTTTCTCACTGATATTGCCATGTCAGTGGGCTTAGGAGATGTTTTCTTTCATGACTAATCCTCAGATATTTGATGAACAGGTATCGACTGAAAATTCACAGCAGAATGACCCATGTATGTCCTCTATATTCTTTTGAAAATATATTGTCATACTTGTCATCTGATGACTATTTTTCAAGGGTGCTTTCATCTATTTAAATATTTCTTTATCATATTAATATTAATTTTCCAATGACTAACACTTCGATAGAAAAGTTTCACAAATAAATGTTGCTGACTGAGTTATTGTTTGACACTTGACACATTCCCAGTTGTCGTGATACGCAATGGAAAAGAGATCATCTTACAGGTGACTACTTATATTCAAGTTTCAATTTTCTTGTTACTCTTTAAGTGTAAAGAAAACATTGAGTTGTTATTTTGATGCTTCAGCGAGGTCTTCATACTTGAGATAAAGTATCGGGTTGCACTGTTGCCACATACTTCGTATATAGCAGTTTCATTTTTTTTCTATCATTGCTAGAATTATGTAATGTGTAGGTAACTGAATGCTCACTCTTTAAAATTTCAATCTAACCTGGATCCGTATAGATCAACTAATAAAATTTACAAAGGGATAACGTAAGCAGCCAATTGCCTTGATGGTAGATGGCCAACTCCTATATCATAAAAATGGCAATAATAATAATAATTGTATTTAAACTATTTTGAAAGAAAGGTATGCTAAGATTATAAGGAATTCATTATGAATTTTACATAATTGAATTAATCAAATAGTTACGTGTAATGATTTTTAAGATATTCATGGGTGGTACAGAATAATTAAACATTTTATGTATAAATACAGTAAATGATAGTTAATTATTTATAAATGAAATATTGAATTTATGTTCTCATTTATTCTACTCGTTTTGTTTCCAATCCCATTTATTCAACTTTAGTTGCTCAAACGTTGTTTGACCAATGTGTTACCAAATCCCAGTCCTAGTACTACTACAACTTATAGACTGATGCCTTATATGCAGGCCTTCAATTGGGAATCCCACAAGTATGACTGGTGGAGGAATTTAGATCGAAAAGTTTTTGATATTTCAAAATCTGGCTTTACAAGTGCATGGTTACCTCCAGCTACTCATTCATTTTCACCAGAAGGTTAAGCTGAAAAATACTTTAGTAAACTTACACTGATTCTTTGCATTACTTAATAGTATATGTACATAAAATGTTTCTCTTCTATTATGACAGGTTACCTACCACAAAATCTCTACAATCTCAATTCTGCATATGGTTCAGAACACCTCTTAAAAGCTCTACTTTATAAGATGAAACAGTACAAAGTTAGACCAATGGCTGACATAGTCATTAATCATCGTGTTGGGACTACTCAAGGGAATGGTGGAAGGTATAACCGCTACGATGGAATTCCATTGTCTTGGGATGAGCGTGCTGTTACATGCTGTAGTGGTGGGCTGGTAAGCATAATATTTACATTTTTATTTTACTTGTGTCTCAATTCAACTCAATAGCAGTCAAACTTTTTTATATTTGTGCAAGTCGTTTACTCAATGACCAAAATGCTAAGCTAGGGGAAACCACTATTAGTGTTTTCTTAAGCTATCCCATAAGGAACAATTATAAAAACACAAACTCACACATAAGATTTTGGATTTGTTGCTTGTGATAAAACCCCAAGTCTTAAAATGATATCGAAGTAAATTTAGCTTCAATGGGCACTTCAATCCTAGTAAGCCTCCACAGCGAGCATACAGGTTTCAAGAATGGTATGCTTTGACACGCCTCAATCTTATGGCATGTGTAGTCATGCTACATAAATTGATTACAATAATTCTCACATATAAAGCCTTATATTATTACTCGTATCTGGACAAAAGTAAAGCTTCTCCCTCTAATCGTGCCATGTCTAAACTCTAATGTGTAATGCCTTACATCTAATTGTACTGTAGGGAAACAGAAGCACTGGAGACAATTTTCATGGTGTACCTAATATTGATCATACGCAAAATTTCGTGAGAAAAGACATTGTTGGCTGGTTGCGGTGGCTAAGATACACTGTTGGCTTTGAAGATTTTCGTTTTGATTTTGCCAAAGGGTAATGAATATATTGAACTTTCATTTTTTCCCACTTGTCATGTTTTCGTTCAATTTTCTTGTATGTTAAGATTTCATAACATTCAATTGTAGCTATGCTCCAAAGTACGTGAAGGAATATATCGACGGAGCAAAACCAATATTTTCCGTCGGTGAATATTGGGATACATGCAACTATAGAGGCACCTATTTGGATTACAACCAAGGTACTGTTATCCGTTTTAATGGTTTTCTCTTGCATTTATGTTTCTTCTGTATTTAAGTTTCTGCTTCTTTTTTCTTTTTCTTTTTTGAATTATATGTAGATAGTCATAGACAAAGGATCATTAACTGGATTGACGGAGCAGGGCAGCTTTCAGCAGCATTTGATTTCACAACCAAGGCGATCCTACAGGTTTATTTGGTCACTCTAAAAATACTTACTACGCACAATTATTATAATTCTTTTAGAGGACTAGACTATTTTAAACATTTTGAAATATCACTGGGAATTGTTTATGACTTTACATTGACTATCCTTTAGTTTTTGTATCTTTATCAAAATTGAATTGCCTGCATGCTTTTAGTATTGATATTCTTTCTGGGGGCTTTATGTACAGTATCATATGCACCTAATAAATTAACTTTATTTGCGTATTGAACATGATGCTGCTCCATGTAATTAGGAAGCTGTGAAAGGGCAATTCTGGCGCTTGCGAGATTCTCAAGGGAAGCCGCCAGGAGTTATGGGGTGGTGGCCTTCAAGGGCTGTCACATTTATTGACAATCATGACACTGGATCCACACAGGTTTTTTTTGCTCTGTATAATTGTTTCCTAAGTGACACTTTCAGAAGTGTACTTCCATTGATCTTTTGGCTGTTACTAAAATCGTATTACTCTGCAGAATCACTGGCCTTTCCCTTCCTATCATATTATGGAGGTATGTTTGTTTTTCATAATCAAAATACGATTTTTTGGTTTCCATCAATATGTTGAGAATTTATGAAAGTATTATAAAAATGATACTCAAGGACAAAAATATAGCTAAATGTTACAGTTAAGCAGAGTCACACTCACAGTCAAAATGCTCATTTTGCATTAAGCTCACATTTTCTCCATGACCTTTAGTATAATACGGAGTAATACATTTTTCATTATTTCATACGGAGTAGTTCTTTTTTTCAAAAATCTGACTAAGATCTTTTTATAGACATAGATACATCACAATATTCACTGATAAAATTAGGGGTGGGCATGGTCGGTTAACCGGGTTTTGGTTAACCAACTTTCGGTTAACCGAGAAACCGGTTACTATTTTTTAACCGAGTATCGGTTAACCATCATTTCGGTTAACCGAGTATCGGTTAACCATAACTTCGGTTAACCGCTTTGCGGTTAACCAAAAACCATAAAACCACAAAATATTAACGGTAAAATCAAATATGAATAGAAACTTCCCAAAAAATGCAGGAATTAAAATAATACACCACATATATAATTATAATACTGCAAACTTAACAAGATGCTATAATACAAACTTCAACAAACTATAATTATAATACTACAAACTATAATAATGACGTGTCTAAAATCTAAAATAGTGTCATTTCTCTAAAACTTTATCCATATTTAGGTATCAATCACATTTATCTAAACTTTATAGTTTATTCATAGTCAAGTCAATGTCTATTCTACTATAAATATAATTCAATAAGTTGAGAGAGTCACATATATTACAAACTCCAGCAAATATAAACTTCGTTATATTTGTGTACGACTTAAGCTAGATTAATAAGATTAATATTGAACTTTCTATTTAATACTCTGGTATCAAAGTTATTTGAGAATTGATGAAGTTCTAATCTTATTAATTATTACAGAATAAAAAGTAGGCGAGTTGTTTCATATGTATCTAGGAATCCAGGTAGTGTTTTTTGAAATATACGACCAATGACCTTAAATTAGCTTACTCGTTACATACGAAGCATGTATTATTTGAAATACCGGTTAGCGGTTAACCGGCCATATCTTATTTTCAATACCATAACCGTACCGTGTACCGTTTTTTCTTGCGGTTGGTTAACCGTACCATGATTTAATTAAAATCGGTACGGTTAACCGAAAAAAATAACGGTTTTCCGGTTTTTCGGTATGGTTAAACGGTTACGGGCTTTTGTGCCCACCCCTAGATAAAATACCACCAAAGTCACTATAATGTAAAACTAAACACCATCATGGTAACTCAAGTTACTACAAATATACTATCATAGTCACCGCTCTATAAAAGTCATATTTTGCCCGCTGCATTTATTTACTTCATGTATTTGTCATTATTTCATACTTCGTACATCAATGCATCTTTTGTTTTTTATCCAATCTCAAAGGGCTATGCATATATACTCACTCATCCCGGGATTCCTGCGGTTTTTTACGATCATTTCTACGACTGGGGAAATTCAATTCACGACGAAATCGTGAAGCTGGTATGTGTTAATTTAGCACAGCAAAAACTCCAAATATGCCACTTTTCTGCGTATTTTGTTGATCCTCCTAACTTCATGTATACCTTCCCTGGATGACATTTTACAGATAGAAATCCGACGCAATCAAGGGATAAACAGCCGTTCATCCATAAGAATTCTGGAGGCTCAGCCCAACCTATATGCTGCAATAATTGATGAAAAGATTTGCATGAAGATAGGGGATGGGTCATGGTGCCCGGCTGGGCCGGAGTGGACTCTTGCAACTAGTGGCTGCCGGTATGCTATATGGCACAAGTAACAATCTCGTTCCGGGATTGAGAGCTCCATCCTCTAAAGGGTTATGGGAGGAGGAAGTTGTCAGTCCATTACACAGAAGTATTATTAGGGATGAGATGGTGTGCACTAGAGCATTTTCAATACAAAATTGTAAACCGTTTACTTGTGGTTTACCAAAATTTTTAAAGAGACCATATGGACTCTTATAGAGCCATATGGGGTATTGTGGCACCATAATCACCACCCATTTTTTGACCCCACTAAAAAATGGGTGGTCATTATGATGTCACAATACCCCATATGACTCCATAATGGAGTCATATGGGTCTCCATAAATCTACTATGTGATTTACTGCATGAGACATGTATAGTTGTATACATAAAATTTAATAAATACAGAATAGAATTTCTCTTTACTTTCACAGTTTTATGCATTTTTGGTAAATTTTTTCTCCACTATCTCAATCATGATGTTAGATATAACTACGGAAATTACTCCAAATAGGATTAAAACTATGGCAAAAATCCATAATAGGATTTGCTATGTTTTTTATTCCAAAATAGGACCATATAAAATAAAAGGTAGTCAAACATCATAATTAAAATGTTTAATTCATAATAAATCTGAAAAAAATTTATTCGTAGGATAATAATAAAAAATTAATAAAAAAATTTTAAAATATATATATAATAAAAAATTAATTTTTTTTTAATGTTTTTTAAAATTTAATAAAAAATAGTAAAACTCTATTAAAAAGTAAAAAAAAATGGATGCCTTTCCCAGTGCCTGTACTGCCTCTCTGCACCATCACCTCTGATCGGTTTAAAAATGGCATTTTTTCTGAAAATTCCAAAAAATAGTACTCCCTCCGTTCCGAAATAATCGTCCTGTTTTGACCTTCACACAGATTAAGAAAACAAAGTTGACTGCACACTGTAGCGACACTGTTTGGCACTGTAGCGACACTGTTTGGCACTGCAGTGACACTGTTTGGCACTGTTTTGCACTGTTTGACACTGTTTCTCTATAGAGTTTTGTGGTTTTTAAAAAAATTTTTTTTTTTTAATTTTTTTAATTTTTTAAATTAGATGTCTTTCCCACCGTTTATATCAACACGTTTGATTTTCTTGCGTAGTTATGCAATGGAAAACAAACGAACTATCCTGTTTTGGTCTATCAAAGAATACTTATTCATTTTGTGTACCATCTTCCGCCGAGTGTCCGGCTATTGTTGTGAGTATCTCCCTTTTAGGATGTTTTTATATGAATTTATTTGTCACAGATCATATCAGATTTAAACAAATCAGATCAGATTTTAGCAGACCAGATTAGATTTTGGCAATTGTAAAAGATACAGAGATTAGACATTCACTAAATAAGCTCAAGTCGGACTAGACCACATTCAAATGGACTAGACTAGACTAGACTAGACTAGACCATATAAATCCGCATTAGAAAATTTCAATCCGAGTAAAAGCATTTTTAGTCTTAAGAGCACTTCAAATCATCGTAATACATTTCCTTAAGGATGAACGTGGAAGATGCTACTTATCGTGATTCTCTACAGTTTCTACTATGAAAGTTGAGTGATGATATCATATCTTGGGACTTGGGCTAATGCATCAAATGTCCCTTTCTTAATTATGTGTACCCTTTATCAATCAAATAAACATTTTTCCTAAATGAGTAAATTAAACGTGAAAATTATGAATTTAAATTGTAAATAGTAGGTGACTAAAAAAAACACTTTAGAATGATGAACTATTAGTGTGTGGTTTTGGAAATTTTAGGTTAGGATCATTGGTTGTGCCAAGGAAGATATTTGATTCAAGTGAACATTAAGTCAAAGTTACCAAACAACTAAGTTCTTATTATTAGTGATCCTTCTCTTCCTCCTGGCACATTTGATCCTCTTAATACAGTCATTAGGGCATTCTCATTGGGAGGATTATTACGAGATTAAATTAGTGACAGGCAGTTTTTTTTAGAGAATTATCAATGAGTGACATAGATTATTTAATAGGATTATTTGCTACAATAATCTGGGATCAAAATATGAATCCGGATTATTTTAAGATTATTTGAAAAGTATATGTAATAGAGATAAATGCAGGACAGAGAAAAAACAGATTATTTGAAGATGATGATTGAGAGACATAAACGAATGTTGAGATTATTTTATAATTAATTACATACAATATTTAAATGGTAAGAATCATATAAAAATTTGATTATTAAAGATCATGAATGGAGATGCTCTTAGACTCATTACAACACGTGTACCCGATGCAATCATAATATTATACGAGTACTACGTATATAATAATTCAAAAAAACATTATTAGATTAATATTCTTACTTCATAAAATGATCTTGGTTAAGAAATAAACTTATTATGTTGAAGTGAGACATATATCTATCGTCATTGATAATTTGTAGTGGAATTTCTTTGAAGAATGAATATGTTCGTATTAGTATGTTCCTAGAAAGTTTATCCATCTTCACGAAAACTTCTTGAAAGAATCCACTCGAACGTTTACCGGATTATTACTGTTCATATATATTATCTCAATTTGTTACTGTCCAGGAATCCAAGGCTTCGCCCCAGTATGGAGCCCGAATGACGAGGCCCATTTCAGCCTATCAGGCTTGGTTCGGCCCTTCGGGCCCATTTTGGGCCACTTGGCCCATTAGGGTAGGCTTTTCCCCCACCCCCTTTTTCCTGTAAATAGGAGGCCTTCCCTCCATGTTAAGGGTGGGCTCCTTCTTCATCCTCACAGTTACTTCTCTCTCTAATAAAGCTTGGAGCTCCATTAATGGCTTCCAAGTCTTAAACTTACACTCCCTCCGTCCGGTCATTTCTTCTGGTTTTGACTTGGCTCGCAAATTTAGATAGTGGGAATAAAGTGAAAATGTATGGTTGTAGTTGTGTAAGAAAAAGGTGAATGAATGCGAACCACATATTTTTTCCAAAAGTAGAAATTGGAAGAAATAATTGGGACGGTCCAAAAAGGAAAGTTGGAAGAAATGACTGGGATGAAGGGAGTACATTGTAATGGTGAGGAGCGTATTAATGAGAATGAGAGGGCTTGGACATTAATCTAAAAAGTCTCGTGGTTTTTTCTTTTTCGGGTTTCCACGTAAAGATCAAGACTTCATACATATTTATATCTATATCTATATTTACTATATCGTGTTGGATTAAACTCAACAATTACAAACGTTATTGGGTCTGTGTATGCAAATTACTCTTAACACATTTATAAATAAACCAACAACTGAAACCCTGCTTGAAGGCCTCAAATTATACTTATTCTTCATACACGCACATAGTTATATTGACAAAATGAATAGCATGCATGTCATTCTAATTTTAAAGGTGTTAAAACACCAAATTTCATACCCATTCAATACCCAATTCGTTCATTTTTCTTTAGTCAAATAATACGTCATGCAAAGTTCATTATACTACCTCCGTTCCTATTTTATCTTCCAACCCACTTTGGCACACAATTTAAGAAAAGTGAGTATTGTGTGGTGGAGAGTTGTGCAGAGGAGAGAGAAATGTGTAAGAAATGTTGTGAACCACAGATTCTTTACCAAAAACAGAAAGTGGAAATGTAATTGGAACGGATGAAAAAGGAAAGTTGGAAGTTTATTTAGGAACGGAGGGAGTAATTTTTTTCAAATGATTGTTACACATTAGTTGTCTTAGAAGCCACCTATCATGATTTTCACTCTTTATTTCTATTTATTCTCGACATAGGAGATATTGTTGTCGGAATAAAAAAAATTGTCTAGGCTTCATGTCTGTTACTATCCATGAATACCCACAATTTAGTACAATCACACTGTGTGTAAATATAAAATGAATTTAATTAAAAATAAGATGACTTGTTTGAATACATATATTATCAGAATTTAAAACACAAATAAAAAAGAAGTTCATAAAAAGAAGTTCTGTTTAGGAGGATCTTTCTTTTGTAATTTGTATGTGTTCTAGAGGTGAGAGCAATTAGAGTCACAATACTCTCCACTAAGGTCTGTAGTTGTTATCATATTCGTAGCTAAAAACAATCAGCCGTGATCACAAATTGTATAAAATTTGAAACAGTAGGCGGTATGTATAAAAATTTGTTTATTTATTATTTAGTATGCTATTTTAAGTTAGTAATTTGTTGTTTTTATTCATTTATGTGTGCTTAGGTCCATTTATGTGCCTTGTCCTCACACAAGTGAAGTGCTAACATATGTGTTAATTGAGGTAATGATGGAGTGGAATTTGGACTCAAGGTTATCTACGATAACAGTAGACAAATGCTCCACTAATGATAGCATGATTGGTAAGTTGAAAACTAAACTGAACACTGCACATTTATTGAAGGATGGTTCCTTCTTTCACATGCGTTGTTCAGCTCATATCTTGAATCTTGTTGTGAAGATTGGTCTAGATGAGATAAAGGATTTCATTGAAAATATTAGGGATAGTGTGGTTTATTGGACAACATCTCCAAAGCGTGTAGAGGAATTTGAAGAGGTATGTCGTGGAATGAAAGTGCTTTGTTCTAAAAAGTTAGGATTAGATTGTCCAGCTAGGTGGAACTCTACCTATTTAATGCTAAAGGCGGCTTTACACTATAAGAATGTTTTTCCTAGGCTTAAGTTGCGTGAGTCGCAATATAAAACTGTGCCTCTTGAAAGTGAGTGAGACATTGCAAAAGAGGTTTGTGGTAGATTGAAGTTGTTTTATTCTGCCACAAAAGTATTTTCTGGGACCAACTATCCTACTGCCAATTTATTTTTTCCAAAAGTTTGTGAGATCAAATTAGAGTTGAATGAATGGGTCAAGTTGCCTTATGTAGTCATTAATATCATGGCATCAAACATGTTGATTAAGTTCAATGACTATTGGGAAAGTGTTCATAAATTGATGGGTGTTGTGGTTGTATTAGATCCGAGGTATAAGATGACTTTGCTTAGATATTATCTTTCAATGGTATACCCGGATTCTCATGAGAAGGAAATTGATAGCATCCAACAACTTTGTTATGATTTGGTGAAGGAATACCAAAGAAAGAAAGATTGTGAAAGTGATATTATATTAGGTGAGAATGAAAGTAGTTCAAGAAGCACAGTTTCCGATCATATGAATGATTTTCAAAGTTTTGTTAAGAGGCTTAAGACTTCTAGTTCTAATTTTAGAACCGAGCTAGATCACTATTTAGATGATGTTGTTTTACCAATGATGGATGAATTTAATATTTCATTGTGGTGGAAAGTTAATGGGGTGAAATACCCCACGTTGCAAGCCATTGCAAGAGATATATTGGCAATTCCAGTGTCTACAGTTGCCTCGGAGTCAGCATTCAGTGGGAGTGGAAGGTTAGTTAGTCCTCATCGTAATCGGCTCCATCCAAACATGATAGAAGCATTTATGTGCGCACAAAGTTGGTTATGGAACAACCTTAAAGGTAACTTTATTACATTAAATACATACTAAGCTTTTTTATTTACTTTTTCCAATTACTATCATTCTGAAATTTATCTTTCTGCCTCCGGAAGAAGAAGCATTTGTTTCAGATGGATATGCATCAATATATGATGATGATATTAATTTTGATGAAGTTGATGAAACAGGTATTTATTTAAATCATGAACAAACTACCTCCAGGAAAGTTTTATTTAGGATGAGTGGATGACTAGCTGCTAGTTCATTCTATATTTCTATAACATTGTGATTTATTGCAATTTTTTCCAAAATATTTACTGGGTAAATTTGGTAAGACATGACGTCTTCTACTTTTGCTTATGTATAAATGTTTTGATGGATCCGCGAGGCGTTCCGGTGCTTTAAGTTTTTTGAATATGGGATGGTATTGCTTCAATCTTTGAAGCATAAGCATCTTAGTCATCATTAGGAGGCAATTTGCAAACCTGAATTAGATTTGTCTACTGAACTTGCATTAGATTTGTCTACTGAACTAAATGCCTGGTTTCATAAGAACTCCTTCCATTGAATTTGTATGTAGACTTGCTGCTAGGTTCTCAGATGTCATTAAATAATTGTAGGATTTAACAAGTTCATTTTAATTGTAGGTCCATCCGGAGTGACTACCTGACATGAACAAAAGGGTGATCCAAGGATAAGGGAATTTGGGATGATTAACAATCGTTTTTTAGAATCTGGATGTTGAAGTGTTGAATACTGATTTGTTGTTGTATTGAATTTAGGCCTAATACTATTCTTTGTGAAGGTTTACTACTTGTATTTTTTAGGCCTAAAATTGTTTTTTGAATTTAGATTCTGGGATGATTACTACTTTGTTATTATGTTACAACTTACAAGAGATATTGGGTGTTGAGTGCTTAGTACTTAGTATGTTTACATGAACACCCAGGATTAAAAAAATTTGGCTATTTGGTATAATTTGCGTAAACGGTTACCCGTGGATAAACCGATTTCCCGTTTAGGACGGGTACGGTTCAAATAAAATTACACGAACGGGTAATGGGGCGGTTTCGGGGCAACCATATCACCCAACGGAGCGGTTTTGGTTTTATGTATACTCGCCCCCGATCGGCCCCGTTGCCATCACTCATCACAATACTCGTCCCTATTAATGAAAAAAATTGATGGAGTATATGGGTCTGAGCCCCCGGACCCACATACTCGGAAGAACAGAAAGCACAAGACACAGAGTGGCGCCCTCGTCGGCCAAGACGCCCCCGTCGGCCGAAAAGGGGCCAACTCAGATTATGGTCTTGAGCCCAAGGAACCCGGGTGCCCTCGTCGGCCGTGCCCTCGTCGGCCACAAAGACCTCCCAGAACCGGATTTTACACTTACTCATTTGTACAACCCATTAGTGGCTTTGTATTCGGCCCAGTAGCGGTCCAGTTGTAAATGGGCCTCCCAAGCCCAAGGCTTGGGAGCCCAGCCCGTATTTTCTCTATAAATACTCCCCTTGGGAGTAGTTATAGGGGTTACAAATTCATTCTATTGAAGCATATTATTGCACTTCTCTTTCTAGCTCTCACTTCTCTCTAGATATACTCTATCATTTGGTGCTCTCGTTGAGAGCTAGAACAATCAAGTTAGCACCCTTCGTCGCTACCAAGCACAGCTAACCACTGATCATGGGGAGAACTAAGTCAAACCGCAACCTCGTCAGCAAAGTCATCCCTGAGGACCAAGAGCCCAGGGAGCACGATGAGGACGCCACGGCCGACCAGGCCGGCGGAGGGGACCTCTTCCAGGAGGCCTTCAACCTCACGACGGACCTCCGCAACCAACTCAACAGCGGAGTCCCTGATGCCCGCCTCGGCTTGGACAAGAAGCGAGCTGAGAAGACGGATCACGCCCCGGCCCAGCCTATGGCCGCGGCCTCTCCGTCCGTGGATCCACAGGTCCAGGCCGCGCTGTCGGCCATCATCGCCAGCCTGGCTCAGAACCCCACCGTCCTCAGCGCACTCTTGCCAAGGACCGGGGGGAACGTCACTCAACCTCCTCAGCCCCAACCGTTGGCCGTCCAGATAGGCAACGATGAAGGGGTGGTGCCCCAGGACACGGCGTCGTCCCACTCCCACCCTGCTTCCCCTCTTCGGCCTGGGCAGACCCCAGCGCGTGGAAAAGCCTCTGCCTTCAATAGGCTAGGTGACACGCGCCGTCGTCCGGTTTCGGAGAGGATGGCGGGACGGATTGGTGAGCCTCGTCCTGGCTCGCCGAGGGAAAGCTTGGGGTCTGTGTCCCGGACAGCGGACCAGCCCCGCCCAGACAAGGGCAAGGGAAAGTTGCACGAGGATGACGTGCGTCACCAGATCAACACGGCTCACAACGAGCGCATGAGGAACCAGCCGGGCGCCGCTGCGGCCGCCAGGGACCCCCGGGACGAGGTCATCGCCCAGCTGGAAAGGAGGCTAGCTCAGATGGAGGCCAAGCAGTCGGCCAACATCCCTACGGCCGGTGCCTCCAACGACCCCGGCCTCAACGCGCTCATTAACAAGGTTATCGCCCTGGAGAGGGAGCTGGCCGAGGGGCGAGGTGACCCCATCATCCAGGTCAGGACCAGGACCCCTTTCACCAACAGGGTCCTCTCGGCCCCCATCCCGGAGAAGTACAGGGGGAACGCCATCAAGTCCTACGACAGCCGATCAGACCCCCAGGAGCACTTTAGCCGTTACCAGAACAACATGCTGATGGTGAACGCGTCCGATGAATACCTCTGCCGTTGGTTCCTCTCTACTCTCGAGGGGCCAGCGTACGAGTGGTTCAACGCGCTCCCCGAAGGAAGCATCGAATTGTGGCAGGATCTTTCCCAACGCTTCCTCACCCACTTTGCCGGGAGGAAGCGTGCGAAGAAGTATTTCACCCACCTCCTCTCCGTCAAGCAGCAGCACGAGGAGTCCCTCCGGTCATTCATCGATCAGTGGACGAGGGAGACCGAGGAGGTCGAGGGGGCCGATGAGCGCACCCTCCTCGCCTTGTATCAGGGAGCCCTCCGCAGCTCCCCGTACGCTAGAAGCCTTATCACCGACCCTCCGAGGTCGTACGCCAAAGCGCTCCAGCGCGGAGGCTTGTACGCCGACGCCGACGAGCTCCATAATCACAAGAAGGAGGGGGGCCATCCCTCCAAGAAGACAAATCCTTCGCCGGCCCCGGGTCCGTCCCCGGCCGGCCAGGGTGCCCAGGGCCGTCACGGCTCTAGTGGACAGAGTAAGAAAGATCGGCACTGGCGGCCGAGGTTGGAACGGTCGGGGGTCTCCCTCACTCACCCGGTCGGCACCATCCTCGACTATGGCGAGAAGCACGGCCTCATCGAGCAGGCTCCTCGGCCGGCCGGGGAGGTCCTTGCCATCCAGCAGGGCGGCACATACTGCCGATTCCACAAAAACTCGTCGCACAACACTGACGATTGCATCACACTGAAGAAAGCCATCGAGCGACTTATTCGCCAGGGGGAACTCTCCCAGTTTGTTAAAGGTGGCCCACGCAAAAACACATGGGTAAACATCGGCAAACATGGGGGCGAGCCCTCTGCGAAGAAGCGGGAGATTGGAAGGCTCAGCGACGACGAGGACTTCGAGGAGCCCCCGCCGAAGAAGAATTACATTCACCTCATCGTAGGTGGGAACACTGGGGGGGACTCCGCCACCCAGAGAAAGAAATGGGCCCAATCCCTTTACATTGGGGAGGTGTCCCACGTCCCCCCCCCCCAGCCGAAGAAGCAGCGAACGGAGGCGATCACCTTCACCGACAAGGATCTGCCTCCGGGTACGGAATCACACAGGGATGTCCTCGTCATCCGGTGTGAGATCGGTGACTCCATCATCCACCGCACTTACATCGATACGGGGAGCTCCGTCAACGTGATGTACTTGGACACCTTCAAGCAGCTGAAGCTGGACAGAGCTCTGCTGAGGCCGATCAAGACACCGTTATCCGGCTTCACCGGGGACTCTATCGACGCCGAGGGCACGATAGTCCTCCCCGTGGAGGTCGGTGACGGCCCCCACCGCGCCAAAATTGACATGGAGTTCATGGTGGTCAACCTCCAGTGCGCCCACAACCTGATCTTGGGGCGGCCAGCGCTGGAGGACTTGGAGGCCATCATCTCCATGAAGCACCTATGTCTGAAGTTACCCACCAATGACGGCATCGGCTACGCCAGGGGAAACCAGAGGATAGCCAGAGCTTGCTACCTCAAGCTAACGAGGCCGGCCGAAAGGGAAGGACAGAGGATAGACACCATTACGGCCGTCGTCGCCACGGACGAGGAGAGGCCACGTGCGGAGCCGGTCGAGGAGGTCGAGGAAATTCCTCTGGATACCTCCCGGCCGGAGCGGGTTCTCAGAATCGGGAAGCAACTCCCTCAGGACCAACGAGACGCCATCCTCCTCGTCTTACGGTCGTACGCCATTGTCTTCGCGTGGGGCCCGGACGATATGCCAGGCATCAGCCGCCAGGTGATCACTCACCGGCTGACCGTCGATCCGGCCTCCGCGCCCGTCAAACAGAAGTGGCGCTACTTGTCCGCCGACAGGCGGGACTTCGTCAAGGGGGAGGTCGCCATGCTCCTCTCAATCAAACACATTAAAGAGGTGAAGTACCCGACATGGTTGGCCAACGTCGTCCTCGCCCAGAAACCGCCGACGTTCAGAATGTGTGTTGATTACACTGACCTGAACAAGGCATGCCCCATGGACCCGTTCCCTCTCCCCAACATTGATCAGCTGGTGGACGAGACGGCGGGGTGCGAGTTGATGTCGTTCCTCGACGCTTTCAGAGGGTACCACCAAATCTCCATGCATGAAGATGACGCTGAGAAGACGGCATTCATGACCCCAGAGGGAATCTTTTGCTACCTCGTCATGGCCTTCGGACTCAAAAACTCCGGCGCCACCTATACTAGGATGGTGGCCAAGATCTTCAGAGCGGTCCTTGGCCGGACGATGGAGACGTACGTCGACGACATGATCGTCAAGAGCAGGCAGGCCTCCTCCCACGCCGACGACCTCCAGGAGATATTTGAAATCATGAAGGAGTTCAGGCTCCGCCTGAATCCCAAGAAGTGCGCCTTCGGCGTCCAGGGCGGCAAGTTCCTCGGCTACATGGTCAGCCGGAGAGGCATCGAGATAAACCCGGAGAAGACGCAGGCTATCATCAACATGGAGCCACCCCGCAACGTCAAGGAGGTACAACGACTGATGGGGCGCCTGGCGGCCTTAAACCGGTTCCTCTCCAGGTCAGCCGAGAAGGCACTCCCCTTCTTTCAGATCATGCGAAAAGCCAACAGCTTCAAGTGGACGACGGAGTGCCAGGAGGCATTCGACGAATTGAAAAGGTACCTGTCGTCCCCACCCGTGCTCTCCAAGCCCAAAGCCGGCGAAACCCTCTTCTTGTACTTAGGGGTGAGCACGTCGGCCATCAGCTCCGTGCTCATCCGTGAGGACGATGGGGTGCAAAAGGCCATCTTCTACATCAGCAAGACACTCAGGGAGGCCGAGCTCAGGTACTCCCCCATTGAGAAGACGGTGTTGGCCATCGTCCATACGGTGAAGAAGCTGGGACACTACTTCCAGGCCCACACCGTCCATGTACTGACCCAGCGGCCTCTCGGCGCACTCATGAGGAGCCCCACCAGCTCCTCTAGGATGGTGAAATGGGCAATTTTCCTCAGCCAATTTCAAATTGAGATCAAGCCAATGCCATCTATCAAAGGGCAAGCCTTGCCCGACTTCGTCATCGAATGCACAGCAAGGGAGACGGCTGTCGCCAACCCCGGGCCGGAGTCGGACGATACATGGACCCTGTTCACTGACGGCTCGTCGGCCGCGAAATCATGCGGCGGCG